GATATTCTAAATCTTCATGTACATAATAACTTAATTAATTTCATTTCATTTTTCAATAGATTCGGTAATAAAATTCTTAATAAAGTATAAAAATTTCTGTTTAATTCATAGCCTATTTATCAAAAACATAAATAAGTAAATAAATATTTTAAATTCAGATGAGCACAATTTAGCACAGTTATTCAGTACAGGTGTTAAGTAATTAAAAAATTATTCGAACGTTAAATTTCAGAACAGTTGTGTTCTTGTGTTCTTGCAGGTGTTATAGATTACAATCATTTTATGAAAAACAAATTAATATTACTATATCAACCAAAAACCGTAGTAAAAGTTCAAAATACTACTCAGTGAAAATAACGATTATATAAAAATCTAATTAAAATTCTCCATTCGCATGGACAATTAAAATATCCTTTCCTTTTCAATATCCTTAATATTGAGTTCGAGGAAGCGCTGAGGATGTTCAAGGTCGAACCGGCTCAACAATTCGCAGCACAATTCCACGGTATCTCGAGCACCGTAAGTCGCGTTCGATTCGCATTCCGTGAAAGGTTGTAGCGGCGATTGATGCTCCTCGATTTCCTAATACAACACGCTTCTGTATCGTGACTCTTGACACGAGTCGGAACGAATACATTGAATTTATAGTAGTAATATCAATAAAAGTAATAATCACGCAAGTTAAAAATATTTTGATAGTCATAACATTTGAGCTTAAAGGAAACGAAAAGAAAAACAAAATGGACTGCATTTCTAATTGTTTTTTCATGAATTTTTCTCAATTATGTAATTCAATTTTGTGTTAATATTTCGTATTTATATTTGTTTTAAGCGCCCATTAGAATGATATTCTTCATTAAAAGAATTATGTTCGTTTTTCATCGACGAAACATAATATCTTTGTGTAGTAAAGTAGGTAGGTACTAGAAAAAGGTAATTAGCATCACAATGTGTGTATTATATTTCAAAGAGGTTTAGTAATTATTATTGTCATTGAAGGATGTATTAAGAAATACTTAATTTTTTTGCTGAAATAAAAATGATGTGCACATATATTCATTATAAGAATTCTACTTAAAAGCGAAATATTTATAGTGGAAAATAGTGTATTTCTTTTCGAATGACATAAACCATTATCGAATATTTGAATTATATTTCTTTTATGCCTATTATAATTTATGCGATGATATGTTTTGAATGAAAAAAAATTTGACAGAACGTGTTTGACTTTATTGACCTTCAAAATAGTATAAAGTATCTGAATATTTCAGATTATTGGTCTTTCAAAATATTGATTTGCCAGAGATGTTAAATGAATATAGAATATGCCCGAATTATCTGAACGTTGTGCAGATAATTTATAAAAGTCATGTCAATAAAAATATTGTTTATTTTAATAAATACTTTTTCTCCTACACATTTAATAAATCGACTAAAAGCAAGAAATACTGAATTATGTTCCTTTCCATTTTGCCCTTCATAAACTGTGAATGAAAAAACTAATTTAAAACGTTTAACACGTTAAATGCCATGAGGGTACCGGTGCCCCCAATCAAATAGAATTACTATAATTCACTAAATTAAACGATGATTATTTGAAAACATTATAAATAATACTATCTGATGCGGTGGTATTCAGCTAGATGAACACGCAATAATAATAACGCAATTCAAGCAAACGATTTAATATTATATTTTCTTCATTTTGTGTACTTTGCCCTATGAAACCGCGACAGCACACAAAGTGTTAACCCTTTGCACTAGAAAGCTTTCCACTAGAAATATTCGATACTTCCCAATGAGACATAGACGACACTATTTGAAACGAACTGATAAGAAAACACGTAAATTAAGAAACAAAGCTATTTTATATAAATATTTCACATATTGATGCATTATACAAAACTTAATAGTATATATACCACTTTGTAGTTTGTATAAAATCAAATTGCGATTGAGAGTCAACTCTCGACTGCCAAAGGTTAAACATTACCGAATATTTATACGGAACTATGTTGCTGTAAAAGCGAGGATCGGTATTATTGCATTTGTGTCTGACCTCATCGTCATTCGTTATAAGTCTAAACAAAACGGCGCCTCGGGTCTGCTCGTAG